TTGTTGGTAGCAGCAGGCGGTCTCGAAGATAACTAGGTCCTATGCCATGGAGTGCTTTAAAGGTGGTAACCAACACCTTGAAGCGCACCCAGAAGACCAGTGGGAGCCAGTGCAGCTCGTGCAGGAGCGGTGTTATGTGGAAGCGCCATGCAGCTCCCGTAATTACCCGCACGGCCACATTCTGGACCAGTTGGAGCCTCCGGGTGCTCTTCAAGGGGAGCCCCATGTAGAGAGTGTTGCAGTAGTCCAGGCGAGAGGTGACGAGGGCATGAGTGACTGTGCACATGGAATCCCAATCAAGAAAGGGCCGCAACTGGTGAATCAGGTGAACCTGACAGAAGGTCCCCCTGGCTACAGCCGTCAGATGTTCCTCCAAGGACAGTTGCATATCCAGGAGGACTCCCAGATTGCGCACCCTCTCCAAGGGGGCCAAAGACTCGCCCCCAATAGTCAGCGATGGAGTCAGCTGACTATATCGGGATGCCGGGACCCACAGCCACTCAGTCTTGGAAGGATTGAGTTTGAGCCTGTTCCTCCCCATTCAGATCCGCACAGCCTCCAGGCACTGAGACATCACTTCAAGGGCATCGTTGGGGTGGCCTGGGGTGGAGATGTACAGCTGGGTGTCATCAGCGTACTGGTGGTACTTCACCCCAAAGCCACGGATGATCTCACCCAGCGGCTTCACATAAATGTTGAACAAAAGGGGCGAGAGGACCGACCCCTGAGGCACTTCACAGATGAGAGGCCCCGAGGTCGATCTCTGCCTCCCTGCCAACACAAACTGTGACCGGTCAGAGAGAAAGGAGGAGAACCACCGTAACTAGGTGCCCCCCATCCCCAACTCTTCCAACCAGTGCAGCATGATACCATGGTCGATGGTATCAAAAGCTGCTGAGAGGTCTAACAGGGCTAGAACAGAGGAGCAACCCCTGTCCCGAGCCCTCCAGAGATCATCTACCAACGCGACCAATGCTGTTTCCATGCTGTGCCCAGGCCTGAAACCCGACTGGAACGGATCTAGATAAGACGTTTCCTCCAGGAATTGTGGAAACTGTTGCGCGACCACACTCTCAACAACCTTCGCCACGAAGCGAAGGTTGGAGACAGGACGGTAGTTGGCCAATACTGCTGGGTCCAGGGAGGGCTTCTTGAGGAGAGGCCTCACCACAGCCTCTTTCAAGGCTGTGGGGAAGTAACCCTCACTCAACGAAGCATTAATAATTCCCTGGAGCCAGCCTCGTGTAACCTCCCGGGAAGCCAGTACTAACCAGGAGGGACACGGATCCAGTAAATATGTGGCCGCACTAAGTCTCCCCAAAATCCTGTCCACATCATCAGGGGTCACAGAGTCAAACTCTTTCCAGATAATGTTCTCAAGACTATTCCTCACCACCCTGCCCGAATCTACCCAGTCAGAGTCCAAATCCCCCTGGATCTGAGTGATTTTGTCATACAGATATTGTCCGAAATCCTCAGCCCTGCCTTCCAGGGGGTCCTCCCGCGCTCCCGGTTGAAGCAGGGAGCAGGTCACCCTGAACAGGGCAGCCGGACGATTCTCTGATGACGCAATAAGAGCGGAAAAGTAATTAAACTTTGCCACTTTTATCACCACTAAGTATGTGTTAATATGCGACCTTACTAGTGTTCGGTCAGATTCAGCAAGACTGGCCCTCCAACTGCTCTCCAGGAGTCTTTTCCGGCGCTTCATCTCCCTCAGCTCCTCGGTAAACCAAGGAGCCACGAGGGATTGGCACCGGGTCAGAGGCCGCAGAGGCACGACTCGATCCAAGGCCCCACCAGCTGCCCAATCCCAGGCAGCCACCAGATCCTCGGCTGAGTCATGTGCCAAATCCTCAGGAGGTGGCCCAAGCTCCATCTGGAACCTCTCAGGATCCATCAGGCGCCTGGGGCGGACCCATCTTATTGGCTCCGCCTCCCTGTGGCGGGGTGTAGCGGTTCGAAGGTCCAGGCAAAGGAGCGAGTGATCTGACCATGACAAGGGTTCCATGTCTATATCCCCTATAACAAGACCACTCAACCACTGGCCAGAGACAAAAATCAAATCCAGAGTGTGAACCCCCCTGTGGGTGGGGCCATGAACTAGCTGGGTCAGGTCTATGGCTGTCATGGAAGCCATGAACTCCCGAGCCATCTCGGACATTTCACCAATGGACGGCAAGTTGAAATCACCCATGACCATAAGCCTGGGTGTATCAATTGCCACCATGGCTATCACATCGAGGAGCTCAGGCAGGGCCGTTGCCATGCGGCAGGGAGCCGGGTATGCAAGCAACAAGCCCATCTGAACCCCATGACTCCATCTCACAAAGAGGGATTCACATCCGGCAATCTGTGGCACAGTGGTCTCCCTCGGACCAAGACCTTCGTTAATAATAACCACCACCACCCCACCCCTCCCCTGGGCCCTCAGCTGATGGAATGCTCTGAAGCCTGGTGGGCACATCTCAACCAGGGGGACCCCTCCCTCCGGGCCCAACCAGGCCTCCGTAATACCCGCCAAGTCCGCTCCCCCCTCCTGTATAAGATCGTGGATGAGGGGGCCTTATTTACCACGGACTTAGCATTGCACAGCCTCAGCTGAAGGCCCAGATCCTGAGTATCCGAGCCTCCTAGTATCCGAGAGGAGCCTTGGAGACCGGGGCGTGCAATAGCTCTCAAACAGCGAGTGCGCTCCCCCGACACATGATATGGTCTCCTGCTCCCGCCATATCTGCCCCTCCCATCCACCATGCTAATGGTTCATCCCTCATTGGTATAGCCCTCCATCTCCTCCCCAATCCCTCGTCCAGCACCCTCCAAACCGTTGCCCCGTGCCGGGCTCGGCTCTGACCTTAGTGGATTTCCCCCCCCATCCCCTTTGGTCGTTCTTTCAGTTCCCCTTAAAAGATTGTTAACCCCCACCCTCCCTGAACCCTTTAAAATCTTATTAAAAAACTTCCCCCCAAAACCCCACAAGCCCTTCCTCGTGCCATGCCATCTCTCAGGATTCCAAAATCTGTCATCGAGATAGGCCCTCGATAAAGTGGAGGGCCAAACCTGCGAGAGGGGGGAATCTCGCAGGGCAAGGAGTTCAGACACTGAATACATCAAATTGTTAGGGGTGAGAAAACATTAGTTAACATATTGTAATGTACAAGCTTTCTTCCTGGTCTATATAAAGGCTGTGGAACTGATAAAATAAGGTTCATTCAAAACTGGCATTCAAAATGATTTAGATATTTAAGAAAGGAAACCTCTTACTGTTCTAATAAAAGGGAGAATATACATATCCTTCAGCTGTCCTGAGCTAGGAAACTTAGAACACCTTTGACTGAGGCTGGTCCCACCCCTGGATTTCTCCTATTTGTTCAGTTTCTCATGCCTTACATCATCCCATTTTATTTAAACCATGGGTGCTGGTTGCAGTTCCTTTAAATATTCTTTTCTTTTAGGAAGCCAGTGCTTTTCAATACTGTTATTTTATTGTTTAGTCATAAAAAGCTATAATCCATCTATTTCTCTATCGCTGCCCCCGTCCTTATACAATCTACCAAGCCTCATTCTTATTCTGTTATTTTGTGCTGATTTTCTCTGCTGCAGTTTCTCAAGGCAAATTCATTGATTTATTTTTCTAACGTAGTAACTTCTCAAATTTATCAGTCTAGGTCTTCTCTTCTCTGCCTCCCTGTACAAAATTACATCTTAAGAAGTCACCGGGTGGGAGAAATAGAAGTGATACAGATTTATTTCACCCCTCCCTGGTGCCCTCTTCCAAAGCAACCAGTAAGGAAACATCCATCTACATTGGCAGCTGACTGCTGAAATGATTATCTAAGCTTAGTAGCCGCAGTTTCAAGTTCAATTTTAGAAAGTAGCAGCAGTTGGTAACCAATGGACTGATCTTACAAACACCAGTAACACAACAAGGAGAAGTCTTGCTATCCATGGACAATGACTTAACATGTCCCATTCCTGAATAAGTCCAGATGTTCAACTGGAAAGTGATTCAAGGCAATGCTTGCATGGCAGAATGCACACCAGTCCTCCAACATGGCATTCTGGAAGCATAGCTACTAAATAAACAGAAATGGATAGAAAATGGTGGGCTTGAAAAGAGTCACCTGTCTACCATGCAATGTCTCACAATGGATGAGTTATGCAGATGATACAAATGATGTCATCTAGGGGATAATTCATGATGATATGATGACATGATAGATGTGACCTTCTTGTGGTTTATAGAAACACCTTTGCTCTTCACTAAGGATTTCTTTTTTGGTCTCCAGAGAGCCATTTAAACCAAAATAAACCACAGTTATCTGACTACTCTTTACTATGACTCTAAACTGTGTGCAATTTTATGAACCATTATTTCCTTGCTTATCCTTATTTTCCCCTTCTTTTAGATCATAAACAATCATGAAATGATTTACTATGGAGATGAAGATGCCAATATCAAGTCAACCTTAAGTGATCCCTAAAAGAACTAAATAGGATTAAACCTGGTTAGGAATGGGATAGAAAAATACCAGAAATTCCAAGACTATAGTATAGGGTAACTTGGAAGGCTTTTTAAAAAATCTGGAAGAAGGCAATGACAAACTAGTTCTGAGAAACTATTTGGACATGGCCATCAAGTCATGAAGAAATTAGTTCCACTTGAGCAAGTGATTATCTATTTTATGTAGGTACAAACTATTTTGTTGCCCTAACAATGCACATCTGTAGAGTTATAGGTATTTTGCATTTTAAACTATATATTTTTGTAAATTTACAACATTCAGTTTTTCATAATTTTTCTTATTTTTTTTGGTAAATGTAAGCTTGCCAACATTTTTTAAATTTCTTCTTTTCTTGTATCTTAGGTAATGTGAGATGCTTTTAATGATTGCAAGTTTAGCTACCATGAATAGAAAATATACGGTAATTTATTCCAGCGTGGCTAACATTCCAACAATCAGTCTAATGATTTCAATATCATTTTTTTTAACATTCAGCTCCCCTTTATAGAGGATGGCTACCACTTTTCCCATAATGGCTTAGCCAAAAGTCGAAGGCGGAGGAGTCTTCTGCACCAACTACATTTACAGAAAGATCCCAGGGTAAGTGATCCATCGATGCCATCCTTTCTTACTATTGTAAAAGTTATGCTACCAACCTGAATGACTTTAAAAGGAGAAACATAAGAGATGACTAAACATGATGACTGCATATTGCCTCCAAACTGAAGTAGGAAACCACTCAGTTTTAATTGCTGGGAGAGAAAACTGGAAAGGAGATTGCCTTTATGGCCTAATTCTAAAGTTTCTAAGAAGGCATTTGATTGAATGCTGTGGAAATAGGATGCTGGGTTAAAGAGCCCTTTGATCAAATCCAGAATTTATGTTGCTCAGCATTGGTTCCTCCCACTTGGTTTCCAATTGATGAGTGCAACTCAGCAATCAAAGCCCTTTGCCCCCCGCTTTTTTAATTTCAATTGCACACATTGCATGCACATAAAAGGAAGCATGGCATTTTGAATCTGTAAACATTGTTGAAAATGTCCCCATGTTCATATATGTTATATATATATATACTCAGAAATAGGAAATACCCCATTCTGTCTGCAATTTCTTATACCTCTTGGGTTTCCCCCCCTCATAATACAGCTATGCAAAGATTCAGACTCAGCTCTAAAAAGTTGCTTCAGTGTCTATAAGCATGCAAACCAGGGGTGGATTCTACTTACCTCTACTACCAGTTCGCAACGGGAAGCTTCTGCGCATGCACAGATCGCTGATGACAACATCCGGGGTGGTGGGCAGGGCCTCCCACCAGTTTTACTACTGGTTCTTGAGAACCAGTGCGAACCATGGGCAACCCACCACTGATGCAAACATACATCCTTCTGCAATTATTTAAAGCAACCTTTTCTTTGATCAGGATTGCAAGAAGGCATGGCTGCTTTAAGGAGTTCCAGATGCTACCTGTGTGCTCTAAAGTGGGGTCTCCAACCAGGGGTGAAATCCAGCAGGTTCTGACAGGTTGTGGAGAACCGGTAGTGGAAATTTTGAGTAGTTCGGAGAACCGGCAAATCTCACCTCTGGCTGTCCCCAGAGTGAGATGGGAATGGAGATTTTGCAATATCCTTCCCCCAGGAGTGGGGAGGGAATGGGGATTTTGCAGTATCCTTCCCCTGCCACAGCCACCAAGCCACACCATGCCCAGTCGTGGGATTCAGCCAGTTCATACCACTTCGGGAGAACCGGTTGTTAACTTTCTGAGCAGTTTGGCAAACTGATTGTTGGAAGAACTCTTTAGGGCAGAGAACCGGTTGTTAAATTACTTGAATCCCACCACTGACCACGCCCATCAAGCCATACCCAAAGAACCGGTAGTAAAAAAATGTGAATTTCACCACTGTCTCCAACCTTGGCAACTTTAAGCCTGGCGGACTTCAACTCCCAGTATTCCACAGCCAATCAAAAAAAAATGTTAAGCTGACTTTTAGCAAAGCTCTCGTTTGAATTCATTTGATTCTTACTTCCCCGCTAATAAGAACATACAGTTTCAACTCAAATGGGAACCTTTAAAATCAACTTCAGATTATTCCACCTTTACTTTTTGTAATGAATTTTCAAAGCAGGCTGAAATCAGACTAAGCTTGAGAAAATATAGCTATATCTTTATTGGATTGGCAGCTCCTGAGAGGTGGACTTTTTAAAAATATCTTTTGTCTGTATGTTTCTATTACATGTAGGGATGCAGTGGCTCAGTAGCTAAGATGCTGAGCTTGTCAATTGAAAAGTTGGCAGTTCAGTGATTCAAATCCCTAGTGCTCTGTAATGGGGTGAGCTTCTATTACTTGTCCCAGCTTCTGCCAATCTAGCAGTTCAAAAGCACGTAAAAAATGCAAGTTGGGAAGGTAACAGCGTTCCGTGCACCTTTGGCATTTAGTCATGCTGGCCACATGACCACAGAGACGTCTTCGGACAGCGCTGGCTCTTTGACTTTGAAACGGAGATGAGCACTGCCCCCTAGAGTCAGGAACGACTAGCACATATGTGTGAGGGGAACCTTTACCTTTACCTTCTATTACACGCAGTTAAGGAAGACAAAAGCATGAAATAAATAATAAGGAGCTGCCTAGAATCCACTTAGATTGAGGGGTGGATAAATTTCATGAATATATGCATGCATACAAAATATTCATAGGAGCGTTCTGTTCCTAATCTGCTTTACAATATGTTCTTAAGGAAAAGATCACCCACAAAGCTGAAGCTGAGATGGAAAACCAATAAGAATGGAAGATGCACACTCTCACACTTCTGTAGTGAGTGAGGAGCAATGGGACTACAGCCTGGATAATACAACTTTGCTAACTGGGAGAGACAGGAGGAGATGATTCTAACCTTTTTATTGTAAATGAAAACCATTATTGGAAACAAAAAGCTAAATATCAGCTTGTGTTTCTGTCCCAGCAAGGGGGCTAAAGAAAATGAAAACAAAATACCCTGAGGGTCACAGGTGGCCAAAGAGGTTTCTTAACAAGAATGTAATTTCATGTTCCTCCAAGCCACATGCTGCCATGCACTCCCAGAACAATTGTGTTTTGCAGTGTTTTGGTTTTCCATATTCATCCCTTCCACTTCTTTTTGAGGAAAGCTACAAAATCAGATTGGAAGTTTCTAAACACTAAAATATAATCTTCAAGAGCTCTAGGAACAGCCCATAGGATCCTGAAGCTTCCTCTCACCATGCGTGGGGTGGGAGATTTGTCCTTGGGAGCTCTTCAGAATGATAGTGGAAGGCCTTGCCAGCATCAGAGAAGGCAAAACAAGACCATTTGAATGATCTGTCAGGCCTGAGCATCTGTAGGGAACAAGGGACCAAGTGACATTTTTAGGATCATGAGATTGTTGTACAAATGATCAAATATTGCAATTTGCATCAGTTGTAACTGAGATACTGTAAACCACATTATTTGTGTCACTTGCAGAATAAACTCATGCAACCTGGAATATCATCGTAGCTCTACTGTACACCTAGTATAGCATCTATAGCTGATTTCAGTCCTCTAGATTTGAAGCCCAACAATGTCTCTTAAAATGCCTCTAAAATGGAGGAAAGGGATATATCAGCCTTAGAGCTGATATAGAGCTTGTGCATTAATTTTCCTGCCACAATTTATTTTTAAAACACAAACAAAAGCCAAACATGAAAAACAGAAGAGAGGAGTAACAGGTATGCAATGGCTCTTTTATCTTGCAATAGTGCAATGAAAGTTGGAGCATTTGTCTGATGTAGATTCTTCTCTCCATCCCTTGTTGACCATGGATCCCCTGTGGCCACACATTTCCTCCAATTTTTCATTAGCTGTTCTGACCGAGCTTTAAATCTGCCTTTTAAGCAGCATTTCAGAGCAGGATGGGTCTTTAAATCTCTCTGTGTTCCAAAATTAGTCACAGCTAGAAGCCAGCAGATTATAATATATTGAATTATAGGTTAAGTGCCAAACACACAGTACATTTCATTCGATTCTGCCCACTTGGGCCAGAGCTGCTCTCTAAGTCAGCCGCCTTGAAATTTGTGCCTTCCAGATGTGTTAGACCTCAACTCCCCAAATTCTCAGCCAGCACCGTTGCTGGCATTGCTGACTGAGAATTCTGAAAATTGTAGTAATACTAACATCCTAATTTAGAAGGGACCAGGTTGGGAAAAGATTTGTGAAACATTTCTGTCGAGGAAATTACTTATAAATGAAATTATGTAGATAAATATTGTTCTCATAGGAAACAGTCCCAGAATGACTGCATATTCTGAAGGCATTCATTTTATATCATTCCAGATTTTAACCAAATATACATATTTATTGCACAAATTATAATGTTTCTGGCATTAATTACATACTCTTTCACAGTTTGATTGTCTCCTTCAAACCACCCCTAGAGAGCTCATTATGGTAGTAACAATGAGCTCTCCAGTGGCTGTTTGAAGAAGACCAATATTAAAGAAGCGAAGCATTTTCCTTATGGATAGTTTAGTAAAATCAAGCTGACTTTCCACAAATTACCATCCATCTCCCCCTGAAAGAACTGGAAGTTCAAATAATAGTAAAATGATAACATAATAGACAGGTGCTCTGAATCTATATGTATGTATGTGAACAAGAATAAAACAGAGGGAGAGTCAGAACTATCCATGAGCTAATAATTAGAATAAACAAAGGACTAAGCAATCTATGAGCATTAAGTCATTGCATTAAAAAAAAATCCAATAATTCAGTTCTTCTTGTCTTTCTTTTTCATTTTGTCACTGTTCTGAACTATTGAAGTCCAGCAGAAGTGGGTTGCAAAACTGCAGGTGACCACTAGGTGGCAGTAAAGAACAATTTATCTGCATCCTGTTTCTACCATCTAATGGTCATCTGGATTTCTACAGCCTAGACTGGTAATCCTAATTGAAGCAATAGCATGTAGATTTCTTCAAGCCACAAAAAACTTGAAAACTGGTTTCAGGAAAGAAAGGCAACATTTCTCCCAGAATAGCTCTCAGCTTCCTGGCAAATAGACTGTGCCGAAAACACACAAATACATGAGTTCATCACTTACTTTTCAGATTAAGATGGCTCCGCTATAGGCTCCCATGGAGATGTCTTCTGTTCCACATTATTAAATAACTGCAAGCACACAAGTGTTGACTATAGTAAATATGTTTAAAGGATTTTTATAATGTTGTCATGGAAAACAACATCTGTCACCACAGCATAAGATACAATATGAAATCTTTTTGAAAGACAATAATCATTCAAGATCCAAGGAAGAAATCCATTCACTTAAAAAAAAAATCATACATAGGCAGAGGCAAGAGTCTTATGCAGATAGTCGAAACAAGTATAGATAAATGTATGTATATGGCAGAATTGGCAGGAGTGGAAGCTTTCAGCCTGTGGGCAGTCTCAGAGAGGAATAGAAAAATAGACTTGTGACTGAACAATTGCTAATGAGGAAATTAAACTCACTCTCAGTATATGGAATAATAATTTAGTTTCTTTCTTAATGCATTCAAGTTGCAAAATTGGGCACACAACCAGGACCTCTAAAGATTACCAGGGTTGCAGTTT